TTTTGTTGTGCCCCTCCTTGCAAAGCACTATTAATTGGAATAGTGCTTTGTTTTTATTATTATTTTTTTAATTATTTTTTTTTGTTTAATTTTTTTTTAATATTAAAATTTTTCTATTTTGTTATTATATTTTAAAGTATTTAGGTATGATATTGTAGACTAACTTATTTAAATTTTAATTATATAAATTAATATTATTATTATTAATATTATAATTATTATTTTTAGGTAAAGTATTACAGATTAAGTCAAAAAGTTTAGATGTAGTTTTGTAGAAACCTAAAACTCTTAAATTTTAATTTTTTTTATATAAAAATAATTGATACGCGGCACATATATTATCATCCACCGCGTGCGGGTAGTTAAAAAGAAATAAAAAAGAAATATTGTGTCCTTGCAAGCAGTCGTCATTCTCAATTAGTGTCAATGGCATGTGGCACTGAACTTTCTTGACTATTATACCTCCCAAGTTTCTCCTCCTTTCTAGGTCAAAGATTGGGACAATCTCTGCCATCAAGGTACATTGTTTCTGTAGGGTCAAGGGTGTTCCACATGTCAAAGGTTTTTAAAGTCTAACTTGTCAGCCTAGGTAGCTTTTGCTACAGTCAGCTTCCACCAAAACCACTAGCTAGATGTTTTGCCTTCTGGGGATTCTCCTCCTGTGAATGTAAAAGCCCTTGACAAAAAATCTGTGTTTCTTCTTCTTCTACGTTTCTAGTTCTTTATTTTCTCGAGGTCTTTGTAGTTCTCAAAGGTTGTAAGGAGTGATCACCATGAGCAGGAGCCCTGTTATTGTTTTCTTCCTCTCCTTGTCCTATTCCTTGTTGTTTCTAGCTCCCTCTTGCCATGCTGCGACTAATACGCTAACCAAAGGGCAATCGATTAAAGATGGTGAAATCTTGACATCTGTTGATGAAAACTTTGAGTTGGGATTCTTTAGCCCTGGAAATTCCACTTCAAGATATGTTGGTGTTAGGTATTCCAAGATTCAGGACCAGGCTGTCATCTGGGTTGCTAATAGAGACAAACCAATATCTGGTACTGATGGAGTCGTGAAGATAGGTGAAGATGGAAATTTGTTGGTTGTAAATGGAAATGGAAGTTCAGTTTGGTCAAGTAATGCTTCATTTGTGTCTAGTAACACAGCATTAATGCTTGACACTACAGGCAATCTTATTCTCTCAAGCAATGATAGTATTGGTGACACAGATAAGGCCTATTGGCAAAGCTTCAATAATCCTACCGATACATATCTGCCAGACATGAAAGTTCTTATAGGTTCTGCAGAGATTTATGCCTTCACTTCATGGAAATCTACAAGCGATCCTTCACCAGGAAACTTCACCATGGGAGTTGATCCTCGCGGAGCACCACAAATAGTGGTTTGGGAGCAATCGAGAAGAAGGTGGAGAAGTGGGCATTGGAATGGACTGATATTCTCAGGTGTGCCATCTATGGCAGCTTTTACCACTTACCGATACGGATTTAAGATCACTCGTGAAAACGATGGAAAGCTTTATTTTACATACAATCCATCGGATCCTTCTGAATTGATGAAGTTTCAAATAACTTGGAATGGGTTTGAAGAGCAGAAAAGGTGGAATAAAAGTGCAAAGGCGTGGCAAGTAATGCAATCACAGCCTTCTGAAGAGTGTGAGAAGTACAATCACTGTGGCAATTTTGGAGTCTGTACTCCATCGGGATCTCCCAACTGCAGATGTCTAGAAGGGTTTCAGCCAAGGCATCCAGATCAGTGGAGACTAGGAAATTGGTCAGGAGGATGTGAAAGAAGGTCTCCTTTACAGTGCCAGATGAACACTAGTAATGGTGGAGAAGATGGGTTCAAAGCAGTAAGGTGCGCGAAGTTGCCTGATTTTGCAGATGTGTATCAATTGTCCTCGGATGATTGCAAAAAAAAATGTCAAAATAACTGTTCGTGTAAGGCGTATGCGCACGTCACTGGGATTCGATGCATGATATGGAATGGGGACTTGACTGATGTCCAGAATCATATCCAAAGTGGAAACACCCTGTACATGCGTCTCGCGTATTCTGAATTAGGTAGAGTGAACTCTCTCATTCTTTTGTTTTCATTATTTCTGTAGTTTATAATCAGAATTCACAGAGAAGAAGATAGAATTATAGTTTCAATTATATTGTTATTATTCCAAATAAACAAGGCCTGTTTTGACTGATCTATTAGCCCTTTCTGGGTTTAGCAACACAATGGTGGGTGGCCCCAAGACAGCACTAAATTGCAACACATGATCCAAGTTTCTGTACTTCTTCTGATCATCATTCTGTCTAAAGAAAAACCCCACAACATGCAGGAACATGGTCATGAAAACGTTAAGATGCAGTCATCCTTATAGTTAGGCATATAGTAAAACTTGTTTGTTATCACAACGGATATAATAAATCAGATGAAGAAAAAGTGCATGCAATCTTGAAACATTTTATTTAAGTTACCTTATATATTATCTTCTGATTTGTTTCCTCGATATAGATCACAGCAGGTTGCCTACGTATGTGATAGTACTGATAGTTTTGGCAGGACTGGTCTTCGTAGCCATCTCTATATGGCTACTGTGGATGCTCAAAAAGAAACTCAAAGGTAAGATTCTCAATTTCATGCTTATTTAAAATATCCCCGCATCTTGATCAAGATATGAGTTTCTTGCTTCTGAATTTTACTCTTCATTTTTGCCAACAGCTACCTCAGCTTCAATGTCGACAAATCATGAATTACAAGTTCATGATTTGAGCAGAAGTAAAGAGTACACAACAGATCTTTCTGGACCTGGTGACCTTGTTTTAGAAGGGAGCCAAGTAAATGGTCCAGATTTGCCAATGTTCAACTTCAACTTTGTTGCAGTTGCAACAAACAATTTTTCTGAAGAAAACAAGCTTGGGCAGGGGGGATTTGGCCTTGTTTACAAGGTGAATATTTTATCTTATACATGTATCAGAATACAAGAGAAGATGAATTCTAGTGATAAAGCTTGCTATTCTTCATATTGATTGCTAGGGAAAGCTTCCTGGAGGAGAGGAAATAGCAGTAAAGAGGCTTTCAAAAATCTCTGGCCAAGGCTTACTGGAGTTCAAGAACGAAATTATTCTGATTGCCAAATTGCAGCATAGAAATCTTGTTCGATTATTGGGATGCAGCATTCAGGGTGATGAGAAGATGCTGATTTATGAATATATGCCAAATAAAAGCCTGGATTACTTCCTTTTTGGTGAGTTCTTCTTGACATTACGTGCTTAATTGAAAAGGCTAGTTAAAGCACTGAATGATGATCTATACCAGGCTTGTTAATTGTTTCTGATTTCCTATGATGACAATGGCAGACCCTGAGAAGCAAGGGCTATTAGAGTGGAATAAACGTTTCGAAATAATTGAAGGGATCGCCAGAGGCCTTCTTTATCTCCATAGAGATTCAAGACTACGAATCATTCACCGTGACCTGAAGGCAAGTAACATTTTGTTGGACGAGGGAATGAACCCAAAGATTTCAGACTTCGGCATGGCCAGAATATTTGGGGCTAACCAAAATGAAATAAACACAAACAGAGTTGTTGGCACATAGTAAGTTTTAAATCAATGTGATAACCTGTATTCAACTCTAACCAGCAATATGATTTTCCTGACCGTTTCTTTTATCTTGCAGCGGTTATATGGCTCCCGAATATGCCATGGAAGGCCTATTCTCAGTGAAGTCTGATGTTTATAGCTTTGGAGTATTACTCCTAGAGATTGTCAGTGGCCGAAGGAATACTAGCTTCCGTATGACAGATCACGTTATCCTTATTGCTTATGTTAGTACATTTACAATGCTGCCTATTTAAGCATACTATGAGATACACCAGAACCAGAACTTTTTTTACTGCTAATTCTCCCCGTATCTGATCCAATTTCTGATGGATTGTAGGCATGGGATCTTTGGAGTGAAGGTAAAGCAATGGAGATGGTTGATCCTTCCATCCGAGATTCATGTAACCAAAACGAAGTGTTGAGATGCATACAACTCGGCATGTTGTGTGTGCAAGATTCTGCACTTCATAGACCAAACATGGCATCAGTTGTACTCATGCTGGAGAGCAGCACAACAAGCATTCCATTGCCTAGGGAACCCACTTTTACTTCTGTCAGAGCCTCTATAGATACAGAAACTCTAATGGAAGCACAAGAAATCACTTCGTCGAATGACTTGACAGTTTCAATGGTAGCAGGCAGATGATTACAATGTTTCTCTTTCTGTTGTTTTTGATTGCTTATTTCACATGTCTATAAAGTTAGTTCAGCTGAAAAACAGAGTCCATGTATAGGTCATTTATTAATCAACTTCGTACAAAAACAAAACTACTCTTTATTCTCTATAAAATGATGCTAGGGTTTGCTTTAATCCAACTTTTTCTATGTTTCTAGGGAGAAATTTCAACCATAAGCAACGAGGTTGTGGATTGAGAGCAGGCTAATTACAGGCTTAAGCCAAGAGCACTTTCACAAGCAGAAACTATCACCAAAAATACTGTGGCCAATCAATCATGTGTTCAAATCAGCCAGCAATCCTTACCACTTTTTGCATGTAAATTATTCATTACCTGTATATTAAACAAAGGATATTTTAAGCTGATAGATATTCCTACCTACTTAAGAAAGTTTCATCATGGGAAATTCTATATTTGTGGCCTAATGAAAGTTGAAAATTCTCTGGTGTAAATCAGAGACTGGAAACATTTATAAATATTTTATTCTACCAGATTGAATATTCATTGCAACTAGAAGTTCAAGAACTCATCAAAAAAATCATTAATGCAAGTTGTTTCATTGGACAACAAGTCATTTATGTAAAGATCCCAGATATAAAGTCACAACACTAAAATCTAACTAAAAGGAAGAATTAAACGAACAGTTGATACAGCGAAAAATACTGATATTCACTAGCATGGTTTAGATTTTGTTTGATGAATGCAAAGTTTCAAAATCTTCTGATCGCTTATCTTGCTGTGTAGCATTGATCCCTCCTGCATTCTTTCTTCATGATGGCAGATAGCGAATCAAAGCTTGCAACAGAACAAACTGCTTTGAATTCGGACCCAACCCTGCTGGGTAGGGTTACTTTTGTGAAACTTTTACTTCCTGGATCATACCAAACAAAAACGTTGGAATCACTTGAAATCAAAACCTCTCCATCCTTAGAAACCATAATTGGCTGGAGAAAGGAATTTTGCAGATTCGAAGGAAGCGAGGTCTTCGCAATTACAATCTCTTTAGTCCAGGAATCCTTGACTCCATATTCTTTCATCACCCATATGTCAAGATTATACAAAGTCATACTGTCACATATAAAGAGACAATCTCTTAGTACTCCCAAGGTCATCTCTGTAGTATCCCTCCTGAAGCCATTCGGTGGCGACATTGGCCTAATCTTTTTGCTGTCAATATCTAAAGCACAAATCAAATCAGCATCTTCATAGTCATCAAGGTTAAGAATCCAATGAAGAGCTCCATTCAGAGAAACACCAAAGAATTTCTTACAATCTGGGAATGGAATCTCCCCAATACTTTTCCACTCATTGTCTCCAAATATGCAAATTTCACCTTCTGAACGGAGAATAGAATTAGGATAAGTAAGTTTCTTACGGGTTACTCTTAAAACCATGTAATGATTGCTTTCAGGACTAAATCCAAACCCAAGAACCGCATCCAATATCGTTTGCCCTCTCTGTTTTTCCTTCTTGCAATTCACAGGAGTCCTGACATGTTCACCTGTCACTGGATTACAAAGGTAAAAAACTTTTTTCGAATTTTTATCAAACAAACAAAGCAAGCCGTTGCATGAGCCCACCAGTTCGACATGACAGGTAGGGAGATTGTTTTTGGTGTTTAACTTCATGACATTATGTCGAACTGAACCTGATTCGAGCTCAACCACGTAAAAATCGTTCGGGGCAAGGGCTGCAGCTTTCCTGGAAACACATGACGGTGGCGAGCGAAGTACAAGCATGGATTGAGCTCTTTCACGTTGAAATTCAGATAAGTACGAGTCGGAGAGTAAATTGCGCCAGGTCCTGCATACACACCTACATTGAATTTTGCTTTTCAAGGGGAGTTGCATGAGAATGTCTGCGGTTATATCGTCTGGAAGCGCAGACATTGACCATTCTGCATCTTGAGCTTGGTTGGCACCATGCTTGGCTCTAGATCTTCCTCTGTGGCTCTTCATGGTGATCCTAGCGTAAGAAAACTCTAACTTATAAATTTAAAGTTCACTGATTCTTAATAAGGATTATTTATATAGTAGCTAAATCAATCCAACTTAGGAAATCCGAATCCAAATAAAACTTTAAAATCTTATTAAAAAAGTAATCAGGAAATAACCAGGACAACTTCAGGAGTTTTACTCTGCATTGGTGAAGGAATACGCTAATTCCGCAGGCCTACGGGACTTTCCTTTTTAAGTAAATTATAACCAAGTCCCTGTCGTTTTGATGATGTTGTAAGTTAGTCCTTTTTGTCTTCAAATTATAATTTAGTCCCTTCTCTAAAATCTACTATTAATTATTATTTAATTTCACAAACCGGCTTCCTCCTCCTTTCAAGGATATTTATATATATACCAAGTGAGATTTGAAATGTTAGAAATAATTATAGAAATAAGCATTATCTTGCTTAAATCAAGCACAAAAGACCTTTTAAAAAAAAAAAACCTATTTGTAGTTATTTTTGGATTTTTTTAATCAGAATTTTATATAGTTTAAGATTGTTTAACTAGGTCGGTTGAGAGATCAAGCATTGAATCCGCCATTCTATTCAAATCGGGCTTCAATGTGTACGAGGACAGGTTGCATGGGCCGATGATGGAAGCTATAGTTTCCATGGAGGAACAGGCGGTGAAGTAGAGCTTCCACTTCTACCAGAACTCCACATCAACCCAACAAATCTGACTGAAAACAACTGTTCAGCCTAAAGGAGTCTATACATTTTCCACAGATGCGATAACAATGTCAAAATTCGAGGAAGGATAATTTCTCCTGCATCGCAGAGCCAGATTATCGACTTGTCTATGCTTCTGTACGTTAAGAGGTTTGTTAGCCTTTGTGTTCTGATGGTGATGAATCCTACATTCCGACTTGACAAATTTATGGGGATGCATAACATTGTACGCTTCTTCTACACAGCCTGCAAATATTTTAATTTTTGTGCGTCGTGCTAGGATTAATTTTTATCATGCATAAACAAAGATTGATTCATAAACAAAGATTGATTTATAATTTATGACCAGAATTATAAATTTATAATAAATAATATAAAAACAATAATATAAAGATATTTTGTCTATATTAAACTTTGAAATGTGTATATTATAAAAAAAAATTATATAAAATTTTTATAGTATTTTAATATCTCTTAAAATATTATATTCTTTAAAATTAATAAATTCAAATAACACTTTAAAAATTTTAATCATCAAATAAAGAATAATAAATAATTTATGATACATATTACATTGTTAAAACCTAAACTTAATTAAAAAATATATATAATAGTAAAACATCTAAGATGTTTAAGATAATAAATTAAAAATTAAAAAGAAAGTCTTGTGGAATAAGTAAGGCATACCAACAAAAACTAAAAAAGTAGGGACACTCAATAAAGTTTATTTACTAAAAAAAATTAAAAACCTGAAATAATATTAAAAAATAAAGGGATAAGTTCAACCAACTCAGTAAATGAATAATATTTAACATAATTTTTAGATATTAATAATTTATAAATTGATATATCTTGATATAAATATACATACTAAGCATATTAACATAAAATAGTGAAATACATATCAAACATCATATGACACCTAAATGTAACCATTATGGAAGAATTAATTGCCAAGGGCTGGTACCTCTCTCACAAGCTAGATATACAAAATATTTTGTGTTTATAGAATAACTACTCTTCATTAAAATAAAATTACTAATAAGTATACCGATATCAAGACATAATAAATACTTGTATAATTATTAAAGCAATGTATATAGCATTGAAAAGAAATTAATTTAACATAATATAAGTGCAAATTCAAGAATGGATGAATACATAGAAAATAAAACAACAAATATAAATACACAAGAAATTAACTAGTTGTACTCATCATATAATCAACATACATATTTATTTATATTACATGCATATTAAAAATTATCTCACCTACCTGAAAAACAAAAGCAAATGACAAACAAATGCATAACTATAGATTACTAAAGATTCTTAGGAGTAACATCAACAAAACCTATAACAGATATATAAAAAAAACTTTAAAAATAACCTGAAGCAAATAACACAAAAAAATTAAAACATCAAGATTAAAGATCAAAATATAAATACAAAACCAAACTAATGCACTTGATCGATTCTAAACATAATCCAAAAAAAAAAAAGCAAAACAAACTCTACCAAAAAATAGCAGATTATTCCAACATCAAAATCAAATCAAATAATATAAGATAAGCTTAAACGACATTAAAAAAGGTTTAAACATTAAGAAAGTATGAATGGACAAACCATATGGACTCCATATTTGAACTTTTACATGGTTATATTTTCTTCAAGCTTGCTAGTTATAAACTATTGTTTTCCTTCTCTTTTCTTTTCACTATCTTTTCCTTCCAAAGCTTATTAAACCTTTTATGTTGAACTCTTGAACCTTTACACCATAATCTTTTCATAATGTGGTTCTCCGCATCCCCCTTTTCTCTTCTTAGTTTTTCCATTTTCAATAGGGTATTTATAAGGAATTGCTAGAGTTCTTGATGAATTCAAATATAAATTGATTAAAGTTTAATTCTTTGGTCAAAATAAGAGGGTTTTGGTCAAATGTTAACAACTAGAATCTTTATACTTCAATGATTTTGAGATGTTGGTTTTGTAACAAATTTTTCGAGGTGAGTTTTTTTTTTTTTTACTTAAAGACAAAGGCATGCATCCCTCATCTTTTGATTTTAAATGAAATATTTATGATTTTTAGTGAGAACCCTATGGGAATTTTTAAGCATGAACATACAAAAAAGCGGAGTGGTTTTACACAAATGGGTATCTTAGTTAAAGGTGACTAAGTTGATCACTTCCAAGGTTTTGCTTGAGCAAATCTGATGTAAATGTCATTAGAGACTACCTAAACTTGGTAGAGAAGAAGCATACCCTTTGATTGGATCCATTTTTTCTCAATTTAGAGATATGTAGCTCCACATTCATTCGTTTGAATGTACCAATTTTATTAGCAAAGAATCTGAAAATGCAGTGATGGTTGATTATGAAGATGATATTGTTAAATTCATTGAAGAAAATAGGGTATAAAAATTTAATAGGAGTAGCTAATCTTTATTAAGAGGGTGTTTCTCAGTTGAATGGTGGTGGTTACAACCGTAAAAGTAGTTAAAGACGCCACATTTATTTATTTAAAGATGCCTGCTTGATGAGCCAAAATTACCAAATAAAAAAGTCAAATAGCAGCTAAACAACACTTTGCCTAAGTTAAACCTTAGAAATTAAGATTTTATTTTGAGATTTGATAAATTTCACTTTAATCCATATTCTTCCAATTGTTTTGAATTGCATCCATAATTGTTCCCCAAACTCTTAATTTCATGAAATTTTGCCTTTATCAAACTCAATTATTAGCTTCAAAGTTCAACTCCATTTTTATCTTGTTTTTGGTTTACAATATGTGCACTTAGATCCTTAATTGAATATTAAACTTTTTTTTTAATTTAGCACTTGATTTGGTTAATTTCATTCCTTATAATCACGCGTCTTTTTTAGTATAGTCTTGGATTATGGATTTCTTCAATCAAGTCTCTAATCATCCATCAAACTTTAACATTTTTACAATTAAAACCCTAATTTGTCTAGTGCAACCTCCCAAAAAACCAATTAAGTCCCAAAAAATTATCTCTAAAAATTGATTTTCTTTGCAATCAAGTCCTTGATAAGATTAATTAATCCTTTTAAAATTTTCATTGAGTCATTTACCCATCTAAATAAAAATATTTTCACCAATAAAGCTCTTTGTCAATCAAAATTGGATTGCCAATTTTATCAATCTTATACATTTTAGTCCTTTAACTTTTCTACTTGTAATTTTGATCCTTCACCACTAATTTAGACAATCTTCTAAGCTTCTTTATGTATATCGTCTTGTATTTTGATTACAAAACTAAAGCTTAAAACCCCTAGGTATTTTGGGAGAATGTTACATTAAAAAAAGAAAAAAAAAAGAGAAAAGGTAAATCAATTTTTTAGATAACTTTTTTTAAAAAAATACTTATGTTATTTCATGTTGGATTTTGGCTTAACTTTAAACTTAAGTCTCATGGGTCAAGAACATAAGTTTTATAGCTCCTCCAAATTCATCCAATTTGAAATGACAAGGAATAACATTACAACCTATATTGCTCAAACGAAGTTGTGAATCTGAATCATATTTATGTCATACTTGACTAAAAAGAACAACTCGATTTCTGTTCAAATGCAATAGTTTTCATTTAAAAAAATAAAAAGCATAATTTGAAATTGTGTTTCCAATGATTTTTTATAAAAATTTATTTTTTATATTTGGGATTACTTTTAAATGCTGATATTAAAAATATTTTTTTATTATTTTTCCAAACAAAAAACATTTTAAAAACATGTAATTCCACACTTTCAAATAACCTTAACATTTTGCCTTTATGTATATGCATGAGAGGAATCCTACCTAAAAATTTTCTTTCGTTATTGCAAGAAAGCTATGTCTAGAAACTTCCATCATATGGTCGTAAAGGCTACACAAATCCAAATTGACCAAAAACCTTAGCAATTTCAAAGACTTTTTTTGTCACGTGGTATAAAGTCGCTATATTTTTCTAGACATTGGAGTATGTACGAATATATCCCTTCGTGTATTCATAATATACTAATTATTTAACAAATTATTAGATATAAATATAAAATACTAAGGGGTGTGCTCGTCTTTCTGATTTCAAATATGGAATCTCAGGATCTTTACATTCACAAATGAATAGTCCAAATTAATGAAATGAACAATAATTTAAGGCAGAAAATTCTATATGGTTGGTATTTGTTGAATTTTCATGGCAAGCATGTCAAAAATAAGAAAAAAAAAACATTTTGACTATTAGTTCGTAATTATATCAAAATCAATTATTGTACTAAAACAGGCAAAAGATTTACTAACAAAAAATAGCATGAAAATGCTTATATTTTAGGTTAATTCAATGAGAAGACTATGTCAACTAGTCATTGTCGAATATTAACCAAGTATAATATTCTTCATAATTGGATAGGAAGGTGAGATCAACTCGGTTTTGTTGACAAATGATGAGCAAAAACAATCAAATTCAATGCTATTATTAAAATAGAAAAGAATTCATGCTGTTGGTAAGCATCAGAGAAAAAAACCTCCAGCATCACAAAGCTTTTAAGTCTGTTTGTATAAAAAAGAATTCATATTTAACTTGTCATTCTCGTTCTCTTTCTTGAAAGACGAGGACGTTTTCAGCCATGGGGTGATACCTTTCTTCCAGCCGTTTTGAGAGGGCAGCACATGCTGCTTCTCAGGACCTGAGGGGATGCTTCATCACTGTTAATTAATTTTTGGCTTCAACTATTTCTTGCTCAATTTAATAATGAACTCATGTGTTCATACTACATGTTTTACGAATATTTTCCAGTTTCTTTTAGGAAAGTTTCGGTGAAACCTCGCATAAACCCTTAATGTGTTACATATAGCTTTAAATTTATTTTATAGTTTTAAATTCTCCATGTTCTAGATGATGGATCCAATTTTTAAATATAAATTAATTATTTTTTTATTAATAATAAATTAAATTATTTAATTATAATTATAATTTTTATTTGGACTAATATATTAAGAACCTAGTGGGTCAAACACATTAAAAATAATTAATTGAAAATTAAATTAAAATTATTTAATTAAGTATAAATTGATTAAAATATATTTTAGAAATTAAGAACTATAATTTAATTAATACATGAATTATATTCTTAGACCTAAAAAAATTAATTATGGGGTTGATTGAATAATTTTTAAAATCATTCTCTAAATTAATATATGAATATTATTTAATGGGCATATTTATATTTTATTAGATTAAAAAAATATAAATTTTTTTTTTATTACATTAAAAAAAATATAACAGGAAGCTCACTATTATAAATTTTAGAATTGAAATATTTTTAAATTAAATTAAATATTTAATTCACAAACTATCCAATATAAAAACAAAAAAAAATTATAAAATATATATATTAGGTTATTTTAATCGGGATTAAAAAATTCTAACCCGTTAGCTAACACATGTTATCTATTTACTAGATTTTTTAATCTAGTATTATTTTTAATATTCTTACTATCCCATTTTAACAGGTAAAATTAACTTAAATAATATAAATATTATAGATTAACCAATTGTTTTAAACACTCCTAGTTGGTGGGGAAACAAGTTTGTAAATATAACCCAAAGCCATTCATGAATATTAATTATCTCATTCACATCTCATACTCTTTCCACCAACAATATTCTACAAAAAGCAAAAGTTGGAAGTTAGGTCACCTTCTCCCAATGATCTCCCTCACCAAACCCCTCAGGAATCCCAATTTGGCCCAAACATAGGATATCCATTTTTATATAAACTTCAAATAATGATATTATTGCAAGAATTAGCTTGATGACTAAGAAAATGAATAATTTCACTTATTAAATCCTTGCCCGACTAGGCACAAATAAAATCAATCCAACTGTTTTATGCTTTGTTTTTCTTTATATTTTATTTCGTATAATGATCTCATTGTGAGTATTAGCTCAATAATTAAGAATACAAATCAATTCTTCAAACCATGAAATAGATTATAAGAAAATAATTTTTAAATAATTTTTTTAATTTCAATATGTATAATTTTGATTTTAAAAAAATTAAAGAGAAGGATTTAATCTTAATATCTAATTGCATGAAACTCATGAATCGAACTTGGATTTCATATTAACTGTCTATTTAATTGCGCTCTGTTTGTAAAATTTTATTTTCAAAACAAATACCAGGTATATAGGCTATCTTAATGTGTTTTTTTATATAAAAAATTTAAAGTGTAAATTAAAAAGTTTATAAAGTATCTAAATAAATAAATTGATAATTATATATGTAAATAAATAGGAAAAACAATTATTAACAATAACCAGAAAAAAAATTAAAAAGATTGAGAGATGAATTTAGATTAAGATATTAAATTACATTGAACTAAAAATTTACCCAATTATGTTTTATTGAACTTATTTATTTAAATCAATAAAAGATAATAGAAATAGAAATAGAAACACGAATGAAATTAATTGACTAAATCCACACCCTAAAAAAATATTATGCAAGACCAAACATATAAAAATATTATTTAAAAATAAATATTTTTATTTTGAAAAATAAAATTTATTTGTATATAAAAAATTATAGTAGAATTAGAATAATATCTTAAAAAATAAAACATAAGAAAAAAAAAATCTATCTAAAAAAGGTATGTAAAGCTCATGACCTAGACCATGAGACTAAGATAAACTTATAAAATAAATTAAAAATAATCACAAAATCAATATTAAAAAAAAAACTAATATAGAATGATAAGATCATAAAAAAAATGAAAAAAAAACATGTTGAAGAAGATTAACTTTTCAAACTTGTGATTTAGTTCATTAGATTAGAAGCACTACAAATAAAAAAAATTAAAGTCAAATCCCTAACAAATCAAATGTCAAAAAATAAAATCAAGAAAAAAATCAATCACTTAAAAAAATCTGAAAAAACTTTAATTAAAAGAATGGAGATGAAAATAAAATAAAAAATTAATTAGAGGGCAAACAAAAATTTTCAATTAGAGAATTAAATTGAATTGAAAAATAGCTTTAATAAAAGGAAAAATAAATCAAAAGAATAAGGGTTGAATTAGAAAAAATGAGACAATATAAACTTTGATAGAAGGATGAAATTGAAAGCAAATAAAACTTTAATAAAAGAGTTGAGAAAAAAAATTAAAAATAAAAAGAAAAAGGAACAAAATGAAAAAAACATATGGGAAATTTTATTTGAAGGACTTAATCAAAAACAAACAAAAATTTTATAAAAAGAATAAGAACAAATAATAAATAAATAAAATAAGGATTAAAATTAAAAAAAAAACAAAAACAAAGAACTTTAATTGAAAGAAAAAATTCAAAACCAATAAAATTTATAAAATGGCTAAGGAAATAAATAAAAAATCAAAAGAATAAGGACCAAAATGAAAAAAAATATGAGAAATTATAATTGAAGAACTAAATTGAAAACAAATAAAATTTTTATAAAAGTAATAAAAATAAAATAAGAAATCAAAAGAATAAAAACTAAAATTAAAAAAAAGAGCAATCATGCTCTTTTTGTACAGGAACAAAAAATCACTAACAACAATTTAATTATTATATGCCGTTACATGCAACACAATAAAGAAAATGACATGGTGGTATTTTCAAAGACATAATAAAAAGTTATATTTGGACACTGAATGATATCTCATGTATCACTTAAATTACGTGGATACTACTTACTTCTCGATATATAATAAGTATGTGCTAATAGCTTTATTGAATAAAATTTAAAACACAAATATAAAAAATATTAAAATGTTTCATAACCCTATTAATGAAAATAAATTGTGTGAAAGTACATGACTATCATGTAATACAAATATTTTTTTTTTTTATCTTATCAATAATCAATTACATATTTTAATTGTATAAGACCAAGGAAAAAACCAAAAACACTCTCAACGAACAACCCAATATTTTTTTTAATACTAGGAGTACAAAGGTATGGTTATTGTTTAACAGTCTATAAAAAATAAAAAAAAATCCTCATAACTCTAAATTTTATTAATTTAAGAGTAAAATTATATTTTTATTATAAAAAATTAAAAAAAACTAACATATAACCCAATAATATTTTATTGATCAATGAGCCAACCATCCAAAAATAAAAAAAATAAAAAATTAATTTTACTATATCAATTCACAAGATTACAATGGAACATTTATGCTTTATATATTCTTAAAAATATTATTCCTTGATTATATTTTAGGTAAGTTTAAGAGTCTAAGAATAATTTTTTTAAAATAGTTTTTACTAGAAATATATTAAAATAATATATTTTTTATTTTTTAAAAAATATTTTTAATATTAATATATTAAAACAACTTAAAAAATTATAAAAATCAAGTTTCATCAAACATATCTGTAACACAATTTCAAGACAACTCTTTTGTCTATCTTAATGTACAAAAAAAAAAAAAAAAAGCGTTCAACTCTTGTATGTTGATGTAACGTGTTCAAAGAAGAAATAAAGTAGACCAAGACTTTAAAAAAAGCAAAAGAGTAAACAATCAAGTACACATGCATCCAAGTCCAAAACAGTCTCTGCATTTTTCTCTTCCTATCAGCCATTACCAAATGTCTACAGGATAAAGAAACCAGAACAGCCTAAATCCAAATGTCTGTCAGAACACACGAGAGAGAGCAAACAACACCAAAGTGAAGCATGAAATCTATAACAACAAGACACCCTTGTTACATCAACACCTTGTTGTTCTTCACAATCCTTTCTTTCTTCACCTCAAAATTTGCCTCATCTTTAGACACCTTAACAGCAACAGAATCTCTTGTTAATGGCCAAACCCTCATCTCCACAAGCCAGGATTTTGAGCTTGGATTCTTCACTCCAGGCAATTCAAGAAACTGGTATGTGGGGATATGGTACAAGAACATACCAAGAACTTATGTCTGGGTTGCTAACAGAGATAACCCCCTTACAAACTCCTCTGGGACCTTCAAAATCTTAAATCAAAGCATTGTTCTTTTTGATCGGGCAGAGAATCTCATATGGTCATCCAATCAAACCAATGCAAGAAACCCAGTTATGCAGTTGTTAGATTCAGGAAATCTAGTACTAAGAGATCAAGAGAGTGGCAGTGGTCAGTTTTTATGGCAAAGCTTTGACTATCCAACTGATACTTTATTACCTGATATGAAGTTCGGTTGGGATCTAAACACAGGTGTAAACAGGTTCTTGCGTTCCTGGAAAAGCAGTGATGATCCTGGTACAGGCGATTTTTCTTTCAAGCTAGATTATCATGGATTCCCTGAAGCTTTTTTATTGAAAGATCAAGAAATAAAGTATAGAAGTGGACCATGGAATGGACAAAGATTTAGTGGTGTGCCAGAAATGGAGCCTGTTGATTACATGAGCTTCAATTTTATTACCAATCAAGATGAGGTATACTATTCCTTCCACATATCGAACAAGAGTTTATATTCAAGATTGGGTGTCACTTCATCTGGGCTTCTTCAAAGATTTGCCTGGGTTCCAGAGACACAACAATGGAGTCAGTTTTGGTACGCACCAAAAGATCAATGTGACGATTATAGAGAGTGTGGTCCATATGGTATATGTGACTCAAATGCTTCACCAGTTTGCAAGTGTATGAAGGGTTTTCAGCCCAAGAATATTCAAGCGTGGAATTTGAGAGATGGGTCAAGTGGGTGTGTCAGGAGGACATATTTGAATTGCTTGAAAGATAAATTTTGGCACATGAGGAACGTGAAATTGCCAGAGAGCGTAACCACGTATGTAAACAGGAATACGAGTCTCAAGGATTGTGAATTGATGTGCTCAAGGAATTGTTCTTGTACTGCATATGCTAACTCAAATATCAGCAATGGAGGCTCTGGCTGTGTGTTTTGGACTGGTGAACTCATCGACATGAGACAATATCCAAGTGGAGGACAAGATCTCTATGTAAGATTGGCAGCTTCCGACATAGGTATGTTCATAACTCTCTCTTTAGTTTCTACTACTTCCTTTTGTTTTACTATTATTATTCTTCTTAAAATCCTCTAATTTCTCATAAATTGTTGAGCTAGGATGTCAAATGTATATTATTAGACAAGGAATTTTTTCACATAATCAAGTTAAACCACATATGTAACATTAACATGAATTAGATTCATGGGATTTTTTTTTTTAAATTTTTTTCCACTAGTTTAATAAACTAGAGAAAATATATGAATTTAGATTATCAAAGCTGGTGTATGAAAGAAATGGTGTTAGGTCAGCAACATTAAATCTCTCATGTTAGGTAATAAATGGTGGGGATGAAATTACCATTGCATTAGTGGGTCTATGAGTTTGCACTTACCTTGTAATCCAAGACTGGTATTGTTGCCTGTTTTTGAAGACCAAAAAGGCCAAAGACATCTTGTTCAACTCCCAAGCGAACATTGGCAAGAAAAAACCAAATTGTATTGTGCCAAGATTTGCATGGAACACATTTTTTTTGTTTTAATTGCAATTAATAATCACATTGACATGGGTATGACGAGTCCTTTTTTTTCCCTCTAGCCGTCCATTATTTGGTATTTCGGATCCTACCGGTAAGTGGGATCCACTTGTTTGAATAGGTCGATAACATTACTTGCCAGTTTTGATGTACCCTGGCAAAAGGGGAAAAAAAACCCTTTAGAATCCTAGAAAAAGAATTAAGTATGTTTAATTGTTTATATTAATATATTTAAATTATATAAAAAATAAAAAATACCTAAGTTTTAGTCTATGGAAGCTGGCTTGACATTGTTGAAACCGAAACCAGAAAGCTTGCTAACAAAGTGTCTATAGTGGCTAGCCACCATCTGTTATTAGACCATGGTTAGGATATGGGTGTAGCTTAAATTGGACGACGATGGAGTTGGCTGTGATAGTCAAGTTTTTTGTATAATTGTAATGGTGAGAATATATAGCTGTCCCTTTTATGAAAGCTCAGGTAATAATAGTTGCTTAAATAAGCGTGTTATCCCCACCTAAAAAAGGCAAATCTGAGATATGAAAACGAAAGAATTTTTTAAAGCATATTTATAGGATGCAACCTACCCGTGAATTGATATGTTAAGTTTTGACTTAAAAAAAACAATAATATTTAAAATAATTTTATTTTAATTAAAAAAATCAGGTTTTTCTATTAAGATAGGTTGTATTACGATAATGATTGTTTTTTAAAATATTTTTTATTTTAAAAATATATTAAAATAATATTTTTTTATTTAAAAAAATATTTTTAATATCAACACATCAAAACTATACTATTTAAGCAAAAAAAAAAAAAAAAACTTTTAAAGAACACGTTACAACCACTTACCCAAAACAATCTAACTCTTGCTCATTCAAACCTCGAGTTTGTAGTTTGGTGGATTATCGAGTTGATGTGCCAAGCTGAGCTTTCTTACAGCATATTATGGTCAAGGGGGCCCCATTTGATCGGTTTAATAAATCCCAACACTCAAAGCCCGGCATTATTGACTTGGGAGGTTCATACTGAGCCAGGCTTGATAGTCCTTTGCATTCCCTTGCTTTTTAAACTTGAGATTAATGGTAAATACTTTAGGTGGATAATTATTGATTTCGAACCCACAAGCTATTTTTCCTTTCCATAACGTCAGCCCTGTAACCTTTGTAGATGCTTAGAGCTGACAGCTGCATATGAATTGTAGGGAAGAATATAATATCGCAGTTGTTGAGGCAATTCGTGTTCCTGGATTTAGTTGAGTTAGGTTGATGTCCAGCCACATTTCAGGGCTACCTGGCTAGAATAATTTGGAAAATGTTGTTGTCCAGATGTATACTCTGTTCAGTTGTAATCCTATCTTGGTCATTTGCTAGGAAATTGCATGCTCATAGTCAAAACAGTGAATTGTTTAGGATCTCAGAGTAACCCCATGTAAATTTGGCCCTTGCGTTGCTGTGTTGTGAGGAACTTCTTTGATATATGGCCTTAAATGACCTTAAAGTGAACTGTATATGGCTAGCAGAAATCACGGCTACAATGAAGCCTTTTCCCACTGTGGAAGAAAGCAACAGCAGAAAAGCAAGTAGGTGACCAACAAAGGAGTCTTGTTTCCACTCTCTCATGCCCCATAATTGTAAAAAATTACTACTTGTTAGTCAGTGTTAGGTCAACTGTTCACATTTCTAACATCGTCTTAACTACGTTGGCGAGAATTTGAGGGATGATGGATTTAGAGAATGTTAAAGTGAGTATTATACGCCTTAAAAGATCTTCAAGTCAAGGCCACGAACACCCTTGACATTAAATTGTGGAACTTGTCTAGGTTAAAACATAAACTTGGATATACTAATTTATTGTTTTCAGGTGATGGACGCAGTGCTGACACTATCATTATTGGCATTGCTGTTGGCATTGGCATTTTGATATTAGCACTGAGTGGCTTTTCCATATGGAAGAGGAAGAGATTGCTGAGTGTATGTAATGGAAATACACCACAGAAAGGTGACATGAAATTAATTTCAAGAATCAGTAAGGAAAAGTTTTGCATATCTACATAGCTGTAATAAATTTATCCCTCTTGCATTTGTCTTCCCATGTCCAAAACCAGGTCCTCAAGATAGAAGCCAAGATTTCTTGCTAAATGGGGTGGTTATAAGTAAGACAGACTACACAGGTGAAAGAAGCACAGATGAATTAGAACTGCCATTGTTTGATTTTAGCACAATAGCAACTGCTACGAACAATTTCGCTGATGAAAATAAACTAGGAGAAGGTGGTTTTGGTCGTGTTTACAAGGTAAATTCTTTGTAATGATACCCTAACACAGTAAAAAAAGAAAGGAACAAATTTCAGTAGCTTTAATGCAGACCAATCATGTGATCCTGACAGAAAGTATGTGTGACAATGCCAGGGTAGGCTAGTAGAAGGCCAAGAAGTAGCGGTGAAGAGGCTATCGAAGAATTCTGTTCAGGGAACAGAAGAATTCAAGAATGAGGTAAGGTTAATTGCAAGGGTTCAACACAGAAATCTTGTTCGACTGCTTGGTTGCTGCTTTGAGAAGGATGAGAAGATCCTTATTTATGAGTTCATGGAAAACAGAAGCCTCGATTTTGTACTTTTCAGTTAGTCCCTTCTAGCCTTTGGTGTTTCTGTGCATCTCATAGATAGGATTTGAATTGAAGCAACTTAATTTGGTAAGCATATTGTTACAGACAAGGCAAAAAGCTCTTTACTCAATTGGCAAAGGCGCTTCAACATAATTTGTGGGATTGCTAGAGGACTTTTGTACCTGCATCAAGATTCCAGATTTAGAATTATCCACAGGGATCTCAAAGCAAGCAACATTCTACTTGATCATGAATGGACTCCAAAAATATCAGACTTTGGCATGGCTAGAATATTTGCTGGAGATCAAATACAGGCAAACACCGTGAGAGTAGTGGGAACATAGTAAGTACCTTTCTTTAACTCATTTCAAGGCCGCAAACCTTGCTTTCCTCTTTTTAGCTGACTGCTGTATTGGTTAATGTAGTGGTTATATGTCTCCTGAATATGCAATGGATGGACGATTCTCAGCAAAATCTGATGTTTTCAGTTTCGGTGTTTTGGTTTTGGAGATAGTATGTGGGGAAAAGAACAGGGGGTTTTATCATTCATTCAGTGAACTTAACCTTCTTGGACATGTAAGTATCATAAGGCTGCAATTTATATGGTTTTCAGTTTTCTTTGAAAATGAGAAATTATTTATCAACGAAAAATTGAACTGGCAACATTGCAGGTGTGGAGGCAGTGGAAAGATGGAAAGGGATTGGAAGTGTTAGATACATCAGTTGGCAATTCATATAGCCCTTGTGAAGTTTTGAGATGCATACAAGTAGGCCTCTTATGTGTCCAAGAGAAAGCAGAAGATAGACCAACAATGTCTTCTGCAGTGTTAATGTTGAGCAGTGAAACCGCAACAATGCCCCAGCCTAGAACCCCTGGATATTGCCTTGGAAGGAGTCCTTTCGAAACCGATTCATCTTCAAGCAAACAAGATGAATCGTTCTCTGTAAACCAAGTTACAGTTACAGTGCTAGATGCTAGGTAAAAGAAAGTGCAGACCTCTTCTATCATCTTTGTATAATCATAGAATTTGGTATACCTCACTAGCTGTTGTGATTTACAGTTTTGTGTATCAATGCATCTTTTGATAACTAGTTTGGGATATCCATTTTTAATTTATAGTTCATACAAGCTATAAGCTACTTTGGAAAGATTGTTTTGTCACAAGTGTATATATAAATTGAAACACAGACATGAAGCTATGAAATGCCATAAATTTTCCTGTCATGACTTGTAAATCAATAATACAAGGTATTTCTGAAAGCATCTAGCACATTTATGTATCTTGTCAATTTTTGTATGCTTCATAAGTGCTGTGATTCACAGTTTTTTGATTATTACCATAGGCCCAAGATGCTAAATTACATTAAAACACTCTCCAATCTAACACAAACTATCGAATAATTAAAAAGAATCAACAACTTATTACAAAATATTAGATTTGCTGAATGATCAAGAAAGAATCAAAAGCTCCTAATCTTGGCACGAAAAAATAAGAAATTAAGGGCAACGATTATACCTTTTCATTTACATCAGTGGTGTTATCTTCAGTGCTTAATTTCTCAGCTTCTTCTTCAAAATTACATGGCTTTGCCCGTACTCCATCATTATCCCGCATACTTTCATCCCACCATTGATTTATCTCCTTCATGCTATCCTCTTCTTCAGCCACTGTTATTCGCCATAAATTCCAAAACCCAACAGTTCTAATCATCTTAAAGAACCACAAAATTATCTCTGTTTACATCACATCAGAAAGGAAGGACTCAATGGGTGTTTTGGCGCCAAATTTGATAACAGGAGGTAATTTAGTTAGGTTAGGTGGGCCTATGAGGGAGGTTTGAGAATTAATGGGCTTTCATGGTCTTACATGGTATGCAATGGAAAAGTTAAGTGAAAAGTTATTCCTTCTCTTTTGTTAATGGGCTTTCTTAGACACTTTACAATTTCTCAAAAAACAAATATCACGAATAAAAGAAAAATTATATGATTTTCAAGTTATAATTACAACTAAATATGTGATCCATCATCCGTCATAAGTCAAATAAAAAAAATTAAGAACAAAAATAATTTCATTCAACACAATTATGTTTTAAAAAAGAAAAAAAATCAATATTAAATATGAAAAACTAGCATACAAAAATGAAAAAAAAAAGAAAATAAGTAAGAAAAATAAAGTCAATTCATACTAAACCATTAAACTTGTGATTCAATTGATTTGATTAAAAATAATAAATTTAAAAAATTTTAAAATTTAATTTTTAACTAATCAAATGTTAAAAAATAAAATTAAAGTTATAATAATTAAAGTTATAAAAAAATAAAATAAAATTATAAACTAAAAAACAATAAATAACCCCTTTAGATTTTGTTAATAACTTAATAGTTACAATTATACTAGAGAGATAGATATCAGAATGAGAGAAAAAACACATACACGTTGTCCATTAAAAATAATAAAAATATCTCCTCTCTTTAAAATTATATTTTTAATTTCATTTTTTCTTCTCACACACACACACATATATATATTGTAAGTATGAGTGACAATAGCTTTATCGCTATAATTTTTTTAAAATAGGTTTTTTTAATAGTTAAATTTCTAAGAAGAAAACAAAAAAATAAAGCTTATATTGCGAACTTGGATTCAATAACATGCTAAGGAAAAAAGTGGGAATACTTCTTTAGTTTGATGTATTATAATTTTTTTGTTTGGAATCAAAATCATATCACGGACCTAAAGTCCTGTAACACCCATGTAAGCAAAGCCTTTAAGCTAACAGTCCAAGCTGCTGGGTTTGGTAAGAGTTTCTCTTCCCCGGTCTTTTTGACATTCTCTCTGTCATTTCAAGAATGTCTTGCCACAGGGTTGAAGCTAAACCTTCCATCAACAAGAAGCTGTTTCAATCTTGTGAGTATTTTCCTGTACGCTTGCCTATATCATTGCAAGATTCTATGTTGTTTGTTGCTGCCTTTTCAACTTCCTCTAGAAGTTGTGAAAGAACTTTCGTTTTATTTTTTCATTGCTAATGAACATGGTTCTTGGATGCTACAGATGTTCCTGTTTTGCCATGATGATTTTTTGACTTGATCATGCATGTAGTGGTGGTGAAGGAAAAATACCCTGAAAATGAATGAAGCCCAGAAAAGGTTCTTGCTGTTTTTGGCTTTTATTTTGGTTGTTTCTAGCATTATTCTTCCTTTTGTCTTCCTGATTTGTATTTCTCTGTGTCTGTCCCTCATCATCATATATTAATTGCCATTTATCTTTGACTTTGTGAGTCATATGATGCCTAGATACAACCTGCATCTCACTCTTGGGTCATGATCAGAATTAGAAGTTGATGAAACTAGACAAGACAAAAGAAAGTATTTAGTAGTAATAGTAGTTAAACGTTCTCCTTGGTGTCGGAATATTCCATGATAAAATTGGTTCGAGATTCCCAATTATCCAATAGTTTTGCTTCCTTCCTCATTCATGGGAAGGGGTTAGAGAACCCATAATTGTCCGTGTTGAGTTGAACTTTGTATTTAGTAATCAGGTTTTGAAAGTAGCCAAGTTTAGCAGTCCTCTTAAATAGCATCTAGAGTTCATTATTCTGTCTTGAATGAAAATTGAGGGGGCAAGTATTTTATTGAGTTATCCACTACACTTGGCTTGCACCAACGACTTAAGAAATACAAATGCATATGATGAACTTTCAGTTGTTGCCACTAGGATCATCCATGGAGGTCTTTCTTTTGCTATTCTTTTGCTTAGCTTTCACTACTTTTAACTTCAAGTACTCAACTGCCACTGACTTCTTAACTGTCAACCAGATTCTCAGAGACAATAGCAGTGAAGCTCTTGTTTCGACAAATGGGACATTTGCTTTTGGCTTCTTTAGTCCCTGGAATTCTACGAACCGTTATCTGGGAATATGGTTCAACAATGTTCCTGATCAAACAGTTGTTTGGGTGGCCAACAGGGACTCCCCTCTCACTGATTTATCTGGGGCAGTCACCTTGGTAGCAAACGGAAGCATTGTCATTTCTCAGAACTCAATGAAGAACATTGTCTTGTCTTCCAATCCATCCACAACCTCAAACAATCCAATCTTACAGCTCCTGAGCACAGGAAATCTTGTTGTCAAAGATATTGGCAGAGATGATATTTCAAACAACTATATCTGGCAGAGCTTTGATTATCCATGTGATACTTTGATACCAGGCATGAAGCTAGGATGGGACCTAACAACTGGCCAGAATTGGTTCTTGACTTCGTGGAAAAGTCTTCAAGATCAATCTGCAGGACTTTATACCTATAAATTGGATATCAAGGGGCTTCCACAGGTACATCTTCGCAGGGGATCAGATATAGTATATCGAAGCGGGCCATGGGATGGTGTCATGTGGGATGGTCTCAGGTTGGGAGGGGGTCTTCAAATGAAAGGTTTCCAGATATTCAAGTCTATATTCATCTATAACTCAAATTACATATACTTTAGCTTTGACAACAGCGATAATAATATGATATCACGGTTCCTTGTTGACAGCTCTGGCGTGCTTAATTACTTCACATGGAACCAAAAATCCAATGAGTGGTTTCTAATGTTCTCTTTGCAGAAAGATCTTTGTGATGCATATTCAAGATGTGGTCCAAATGGTATTTGTAATGAAAACCAGGTGCCCATTTGCCATTGCCCAACTGGGTTTGTGCCAAAGGTGACAGAGGAATGGTATTCAATGGATTGGTCCAGCGGATGTGTGCCAAGAAAACCACTGAATTGTAGCACAAATGAGGGATTTATGAGGTTTCCAAACTTGAAGTTGCCAGATAATTCATATGCTATGCAGTCTATTACAACTAATCAGGAGAACTGTGCAGATGCTTGTCTGAGGAACTGCTCATGTGTTGCTTATGCCACAACTGAACTTATTGATTGCGTGATGTGGTTTGGGGACTTGTTGGATGTTAGAGAATTCAATGACGGAGGGGATGAACTGTATGTTCGGATGGCTGCTTCTGAACTTGGTATGTTCTTGTTCTTAACACAAAGCAGACTTTGCATAAACTTTGCATTCACTCATGCAAGCTTTAGATACTAAAATCACAACGTAAGATACAACATTCTTTCTTTATGCATGCTTTGGTACTAAGATCACAATGTAAGATATAGCATTCTTTCTTTATGCATGCTTTGGTTACTTTTATTTCGTTTCCTTGCTGGTTCTAGTGGGTGTATGCTTCATAATTTAAAGTGGGCAAAGAAAATTTATTAAAAGTTGTTTTTGGGTTCACATAGATCAACTTTGATGATATATTCCCTTTTCTTTTTTGAACACAGGCATTAAACTTACCATCCTGAAATTTTAGTATTTATAGGTCACTTTGCTCTGAGACAGTACAAATTAGTTGTAGTCGGTGTATTTTTAATGTGCCTTCCCAAACGCTCTCATGTGAACCATGATATGAAAGCTTTTGCTGGGCTCCACAAACTAGGTCCTCTTTCAATGCGAAAGAATGAGAACTACAGGTACACTAGATAGCTGGTCCTCTGTTTATAGGAACAAGACCTTAAACTAAGATTGTACAAGATAGTCTCTGCAATGACTAAGTGGTTTAGTCAGTTAGAAGCACAAATTTATTTCAAAAACAAATTGATGATTATTATTTCGTACTTGTGGATGCATCTAGAAAGCAGTGCAATGGACAAAGTGACACTGATCATATTCTGGGCCTCAACAATTTTAGCGGTTCTTCTGTTGGTTTTAGTTGCCTTGTACGTTTTATGGAAGAGGAAGTCTGGCAGAAAGATAGGTAAATATTCAACTACTTCTGTGTTAGATAAACTTTTTTTTTTTTCTCATCTTAGTTACATTTTTGTTATCAGATGAATGACTAGTTTAACAGAAACTAGACATAATAAGAAAATGATTTGTGATGATTAACAGGACTTTAATTGTGTTGCTTCGATGTTCCACCTGCCTTTGGTAATCTAGTTTTTTTTTTTCTATCCATAATAGATTTTTGATTTGCACTGTTATGTGTGGAATAAATTTTATTTTTTTAACCGTACAAAGAAAAAGAAGTCATGGATAAATCAACCTTCTTAGAGATCATAGGAGATCAATTTGATTTTGAAGGGAACTCCTATGATTGTTTAAAGTTCTGTAGTAGAATTTTGATGAAACTAGTTGTAAGCTCTCTCATAGCAAGAAAAGCTAATTTCTCCATCTTTTTCCAATAATCCCTTTGCTTGCTTCATGACAGACCAATCTGTAGAAGAGGCATGCCATGATGATAAACCTGGCCTTGAAGACCTAGAGCTACCATTATTTGATCGGAGTACTATTGCAGCTGCGACAAATGACTTTGCATTTGCTAATAAGGTTGGAGAAGGTGGTTTCGGCCCTGTTTACAAGGTTATTTTCTGCACTACTTAACCCTGCTTTGGTATGATCAACACCGAGTGGAATGGATCCTTTTGGTGAGACTTGAACCAAAAAACCTGCTTGATCCCTGCTCGCCTCTTCTCCATTTGAGCTAAAGCCTGATGGACCTCGATCATGTCAATTTAGTCATAGTAAATGAATGCCTAATTGCGTATCCTAAACAATCTGCTAATAGCTAGCATTGTTTTTATTTTTTATTTACATATAGGGCAAGCTCTCTACTGGTCAAGAAATAGCAGTAAAGGTACTCTCCAAAGATTCAGGACAAGGCCTTAAAGAATTCAAGAATGAAGTTATCTTTATTGCTAAGCTTCAGCATCGAAATCTTGTTAGGCTCTTGGGATGTTATATTCACGCAGAAGAACAGATGTTGGTCTACGAGTACATGTCCAAAAGAAGTTTGGACTTATATATTTTTGGCAAGTCTTTTCCATCATTTTTAATTATTTAACGTTGTCCCAAATCAGGCTTTTTAACTAAATGCTTTACCAGCAGACTCACAGGAAGGTGCATCCCTTGATTGGCAGAAACGCTTTAACATAGTGGTAGGCATTGCTAGAGGACTTCTTTATCTTCACAGAGATTCAAGGTTGAGAATCATTCATAGGGATCTAAAAGCTAGCAACATTCTCTTAGACAGTGATTTGAATCCAAAAATATCAGATTTTGGCTTGGCAAGAATGTTTGGAGGTGATCAAACTGAAGCAAAAACGTGCCGGGTTATGGGAACTTAGTATGTCTCTCACTCTATGTATTTATGTATATCTATCTACCTGTACTTGGCACTTCGCTGTTAAAATATTTCTTTGTTGATTAAATGCAGTGGCTATATGTCCCCCGAGTATGCAATAGATGGACAATTTTCAGTCAAATCTGATGTCTTCAGCTTTGGTGTATTGCTCCTAGAAATCGTAAGTGGAAACAGGAACAGAGAATTCTATCATCCTGATCATGACTTCAACCTTCTAGGACATGTGAGTATTTCCTTACGAAAACAATTGATGTGGCTTGCATATTTATGCGAGTGTTTGTATGTACACATGTTCCTTTGCATGCAAGTGTAAGTTAATTCTCAAAGGAACTTAAAAATTTGGTGTAGGCATGGATATTATGGAATGATGAACGGGCTATTGAGCTGCTAATGGATCCTTTTATGGCGAATCCGATTAACACATCTGAAGTATTGAAATGTATTCAAGTTGGCCTCTTGTGTGTGCAACAGTGCCCTGAAGATAGGCCAACAATGTCGTCTGTTGTTCTGATGTTGGATTGTGAGAATCCTTTGCTGCCTCAGCCTAGAAAACCTGGTTATTATACAGATAGGTGTCTTCTATCGAAAATGGAAAGCTATTTTTCTGGAAATGACTTGAGTATAACAACATTAATGGGTCGATAGAGAAGTCTTTCTTTCTCTGGATGTTGCCATTGTAAAGAATCTGTTGAGTCTGAGTGACTTTTTCTTTACACCTGAATCTGAAGATTCTGAACGTGAGAGTGTTCCCGGAGGGTAATATTGTTACTGCAACAAGCCTCTATACCTGTTGAAGAGGTGGCTCATCTCGACATCAAAGTTCAGGGCATCCCTGATGACTCTGAAGATTATAAATCCCATTTCGGCAATTTCCTTATCCAAACGTGTAATATTATATCATGTCTGCTTTATATTTTGACATTAGTTCTTGATTTGTTGGATATATTTAAATCGTGCTTCTTAGTTGATGTTATGAAGATTTTATCCCTTTGTTTTAACTGTATTGTTTCATTTTTACCCTTCTCTAGCTACATATGTTCTCTTGGATGGACAATTTATTTTGTATGTCAAATATTGCCTTTACGTGGTTTCCATTTTTATTTCTTCTGTTGCCTATGATGTCTTGGCACATCATCTAGATTTGTAAGAAACCTGGAAAGATCCTGAGGACTTGGTCCTATGCTTGTGCAATGAACTCTTTGATTTTCAAAGATCATTTTACCATCTCGAGGGTCTTTACAGGGGTCTCTCTGCTTGCACAACAAAGGCAAGTTGTGATATAGAATAAGAAAGACACGTCTATTTGCCAGAAATGACATCAAGAACACATCACTTCCGCATTATACAATTTGCTACTTGAAGAAAGACCATTCAAAGTTCAACCTAAAAAGACTAACAAAAAGAATAGGAAAGCGGTCTTGTTGCCAAAAGCAAGAATATTATCTCAATATTACATGAATCAATAGCCTGTAGAAAAATTGTGTTATTGTTTTTCACAGATTTTCCTGAAACCCATGTTTCTATGCTTGTAACTTCTCAGGTGCCTTCCTTGCAACAATGTTGAATAAGTATTGACAGCAAGGAGCTGCCTCAAGGAAGAGTGTAGGATTATAGTAGAGAGTCTGCGAAGAGGCTAAATAAGACATTAAAAAACGACAGTCGAGCGTTTCAACCATTGTAGTTTAATACGCAAGTAGATGAAAAATCTAGAGATTAACACTCCCTATGAACAAACTGCTGATTTTGAGGTCTACAAGGATAGCATGTTCTAGTTTTTGTCAAGAGAAGGTCCCTTTCACACATTTCTTTCATCAAGAAAAGCAGAGTTTCCCTTTCTAACATTTAAAGTCAGAAATGAAATACATCAAACAAGAACCTGATAGTTTTTATCATCAGCTTGACATTTCCACCATAAAACCTTTCTATAGTGAAAACTGCTCAAAACCCAAAGCCTATTCAAGCCAAAAACTTTCTTACAAACAACCAACCCATAGATACCGAAAAATATTTTCACTCCAAACCAGAGCAAACCTATTACAAAAAGCCCTACAAGAAATTTACCAAAAACCATAAGCCTTTCCGATCAAAGCCCAAACAAAAATTTAACCTTAAAAACATTACTCGTTACAAATGCAACTAGAAATGACATATCTTGTTTGTGCAAAATCAATACCAAACTCCATGAGCTTTAAATAGATGAAGACACCATAAACCAAATATAAAACCTATACATTAAAGCCACATACATAGACCACTCTCTCTTAGACAATTCTGAAGAAGAATTTTAAATTGATAAAAAAGCAACTTCTAGTGCTACTTTAGATACTTTTACAGATTCCAAATAAATCAATGTCCTAACTTAAGACCAAGAATTCATCCTTGAGGCCATTAAATGACTTGATGATTCTTAACTCCTAAAAACATATTTAGATAACTTGTTAAAAGATTTTAGCAAACTAGAGCATCTTCCTTCTAACCCTCCAAACCGCTTTGTATTACCCTCAACTAGTACCAATACCTATGACCTTACAAAGATCCTTAACAAAAAGAAATCCAAAACAACATTCATAATCCTAGAATTACATTTTAAGATCAAAATTCTCAAATTCAAGTTATCAATCCTGAAACAAGCCCAACAAAAAGACTTTGCCATATTACAACATCTTCTTTAAAAAATTGAGAGACAGTTTGATATTGAATCTGAACTAGACGACCAAACCATTGAGTCTTATAAATTACCTCATGCACTTACAAACATTGAACATATTCCTAATGACTTCTTGTATGTGTTATCCCAAATATCTTCCAAAAAATACTTGATTAAAATTTCATTAGCTTTTTCAGATGATTTCAAATTAGACACTATTATCTTATTTGACACAAGTGCAGATTTATATTGTTGAAAATAAAGGCTTGAGTTTTGCCTGCAATATACAATTTTGAATTGTTAGCAGCAGAGAGTTTTTTAGAGGTGTTTTGTAGAAATGGTTTTGGAACTATATTGTCTTTAATACACAATAAAGGCATTTCTTTGAAAATATTTTTTGTTGTCACGAAATATATTAATCATATCATTATTCTTGAAACTCCATTTATTGATATGATTACTCCATACAAAACACATCATGACTGCATTACCTTAGAAATCAAAAGTGTTGTAGACTTGAAATCTAGGATCTCGAGTCTAAAGGTCTAATCCAAAAGTCCCGATCATCTTGATCGTGTGTAGCCTTTTATGTAAATAAAAATTCTGAGATTAAAGAGGTACACCAAGACTTGTGATCAATTACAAACCTTTAAATTCTACTTTAAAATGGATCAAGTATCCAATTCCAAACAAAAAAGATGTATTGCAAAAATTACATTCTGCATTTATCTTTTCCAAATTTGATATGAAATCTGGTTTCTGGCAAATCTAAATTGATCCCAAGTATCGATACAAAACTGCATTCACTATTTGTTTTGCCCAATTCAAATGAAATGTCATGTCTTTTGGCTTAAAAAACACACCATTTGAATTCCAACACATTAAGAATGACATCTTTAATGCACATTCAAAAGTTTGTATTGTTTACATTGATGATGTTCTTATATTTTCTCATTCCATATATCAACATTTCAAATATCTACATATATTTTTTCATAATACCAAACAAAATAGTTTAGTTGTTTCTAAATCAAAACTTTCTCTATTTTAAACCTGTGTCTGTTTCCTAGGACATTATATCTACTAAGGTACTGTAACACTCATAAAGAGATCTTTATCTTTTACAAATAAATTCCATGGTAAGATTACTGATAAAACTCAATTGCAAAGGTTTTTAGGGAGTCTTACTTATGTTTAGACTATTATCCAAACATTATTCGTCTTGCCAGACCTTTATATGACAGGTTAAAAACCAACCCAGTTCCTTGGTCTGACCTTTATACCAACCTCATCGAACAGATCAAGAAACAGGTCCAAACCATTCCTTTCCTCCATCTTGCTAACCCATTAGCTTCTAAGATTATCAAGACTGATGCCTTAGACTTGGGATATGATGGGTCCTTAAACAAGTCCAAGATAACAAAGAACAAATCTTCTAGTATACATCATCCTATTAGAATGATTGCTAGAAAAACTACTCCACTATAAAAAAAGAGATTCTTTCAATTATTTTTTATGTTACAAAATTTCAAAGTGATTTATTAAATAAAAAATTCATCTTACGTGATTATTGTAAATCTACAAAAGAAGTTTTATAAAAAGATATCCAAAATCTTGCTTCAAAATAGATTTTTGCCCAATGGCAAGCTATTTTAAACATTTTTTATTTCAACACTGTATACATTAAAGGATATTCTAATTCTATCCTTGATTTCCTAACTTATGAATTTCTTCAAAATAGGTCATGATGCCTCCTAAGACATAATCCAAAAACAAGGGGAAAGCTCTCCAAAGAAAGCCTAAATCTTTCTGCAAAACTCATGTCTTCAGCTATCCTAGTTGTTAAACCTATCAAATCTTTGCGAAACTCATGTCTTCAGCTATCCTAGTTGTCAAACCTATCAAATCTTGGTATGAGGTAGTCAGTAAAGAAGAAGAAACTACAACACAATCATTAGTACAAACAATATCAGTTCAATATTAGGTTGACACTCTCTCTAAATCACCATAATTACTTCTGGCTTTATAAAAAAAATATATCCCAACAGACCTTTAGTGACCATAAGTCACCCATATGTAGTATTTCTAAACCCCTTTCAAAACCACAAGTAGATTTTCCTCCTCAAAAAACCCCTGCTTGCTTTACAAACTCCGCAATAAAGCTTTTCCAAATCTAAATCACAATACATTTTTTAAACTAAATTCCAAAATATTTTAACCTTGGAAGAAGGTTTATATAATTGAAACCCTTCCATTGTAGCTTCAAAACTATTCCCCCCACATTAGCATTACAAACCCAAGGATTTAATAAAATCTCAATCCTACTATGCTGCCATCCTTGAAATCACAAACTTTATCAAATTCAAACATTTTAAAATCCATTCAAACCACTCCAAACCAGCATATTCCACATGCATCATTAGCAAAATCATCCACCCTTCAGATTGGGGTCAACCCTTACATAAAGCCATTTTTTCCCCAACACCCCTTCGGAAAAATAACCAGGATTATGGTACATATACTTATTAGGATTACCAGCAAGCCTGGTTTAATGCCCTTTTCTTTTAAAATACAAATCACAACTACTATTAGCTTTTCTACTTCCATAACACCATGATAACTACAAACTTCCCCCTCTGGTTCCTTTAACAGTGGGACTATTTTGGTTGTCATGTATACTACCTCAAAGACCACCCTCTGGTTGAAAATGACTACCTTTATTTCAAAAATAATTTTTGACCAACTCCTTCTAAATGAAAGTTTTCTTCCTTCCTTATTTTCTATACAAAGGTTTTTGTTCCATGGGTATGTTCATGGTTCTATGATTATAATCTTCAAAATGAGCATTTAGTTCTTCTTCATAAATTCAAAATCAAATGGTGGGATTCCTTTGCAGCTGAATTCAAAAGTTTCAAATTAGCAGTTGCAGAATGGTGACAAAAGAATCAAACAACTCCCATCATTGATCATCATCCTTAATCCAAATTTCTAGCCTCAAAGGCTCAAACAGTAGCTCTCTTTTCCTCTGCTAGAACTGAGAAAGAATACCTCCAAATTGTGCAAAACATTATACAAAGCCAAGACCCTAAAATAGTCTTGTTCCAATCCAGATCATCTGACTCAACATCTCTTACCATATCCCTTGGAGACGATAATAAAGATTACTATTTTGGCATTCTGTCACCTATCAAGAGACACTAAAAAAAAAAGTGTCGACACAAACTTACAAAATACTTTTGGCTCAAGTGTCTCCCATTACTGAAAAAAACATCATCCACTTATAAAAGGTGTCTCCCACTACTATAAAAGGCACCATCCACTTGCAAAAGATGTTCCCCACTACTACTTTCGGCTCAAATGTCTCTCACT